TCAAGTCGTTCACGAACAGCTCGACGCTCGTCTTAAGAAAAGCTCGTTCGATACTCGGCTCGTTACCTAATGAGCTCGCTCGTTTACGAATGAGCCGAGCTTGAGCTAGGTCTAGCTCAGCTTGTTAAGCTCACAAGCTAGATCGATTTGAAGACTCGTTGAGCCCGACTCACAAACTAGCTAGATTTGTAGCTAGTTTGCGAGATACGACAATAAAGAAAGTTATGGTTTTCATTGAAGCAACATGATTCATTAGTCATTCATGAGGACCGACCAATTATTGTTATTTGTTCATCATTCTTGATGAACCCATTCTCTATGCAAAATACGAAATTGGCCAATATAAATTGCAAACACCATTAACTCATAAAATCATGTCAATAGTGGGGATTCTTTTAACCTTCTAGGGTATTGTTTATCAACAATAAACCCCATTATAATTTATCATGTTAGGTCGTTCAAATAGAAAGAAATCACCTTAAAGAATGAAACATGAAATTCTTTTAATGGATTAATTTCTTTATTCCCTGCATAATAGAATGGTCGTCATTTGAAAATAATATATTAGCATAGAGGAACTCATCAACTACTTAGCAATAAGGACAACACACTCACTTACCTCGCATCAACAGCAGAAGACAACAAACTCACTTGCCTAGCATTAACATCAAAAGACAACAGGTAGGAAACATTATATTAACCTAAGCATCTCTCTGCCATATACTGCTTGACCTTGCATCCCACTCCTTGCATACTCCTGTCAAACCACCTGCTCTTGTACAAGCAAGTGCTGCTATATCCGAAACATCCTCATCATCTTTAAGTGTATTTGATTTCTAGAACTAATAGAGCAGGATGATAAGGATAAAGGATCTACATGGCCTCTAGGAACTTCATTGCTAGTGGGTTATTAACACCCAATATAGTGGTTGGATTAGTGGTGTTAATGAGCTTGATTATCAAGCTGGGCTTGTTGAGCTCATAACAGTCCATTTTCGAGCTGAGCTTATCTCGAGCTCGAGCTTGCTTATTGTTAATCGAGTCGAGCTTGAGCTGATCAAACTCGAGCTGAGCTAGATCACAACTCGGTTCAGCTTGGCTCGTTTGTAGCCCTAATTCAATCGTATGACTTAACATACCAAGTTTAACCCTCGATTTGAAATAAAGTTTACCTCAAACCCAACTTAAATGTGCCAAATTTTACTTAGTGTTATAAAATAATGATCATGTAGTGTTGAAGTTGCAATAAATGTAGAATTATTGAAAACAAGTAGATAAATTAAGTAAAATTTTCTAAAACAAATGATTATTGTAACTTGTAACTAATGGTTAATTTAGTTATTAGACCGTAAACAATTCCATATATATATTAGCCTTCAAAGCATAGAAGAAAAATTTAATTAGTCATTCCCTCTATATAAAAATTAAAGATTCATATTTCAATGGTGAAAATTTTAAAAAAAAAATTGAAAACACTAAATTTGTTTTCTTCTTTATTTTCACAAAATGAAAATTTAAATTAATATACTAAATTTCCCCTCCTTCTTTCTTCTTCTTCCATAAATTAGAAACACTCAATTTTTCCTATTCATACTCTTCCATAAAATGGAAGAACCGAATTTCAATCTTCCTTACTTCCTTTCACAAAAGTTGAAAACTCAAAATTTTCCTTTTTATTTCTCTTTCATAATAAAAAAAGCCAAACTTTCCCACTTCTTTCTCTTTCCACAAATTAAAACCACCAAAATTTCTTTTGTTAAAATTGAAAGAACCAAATTTTCTCTTCTTTCCCTTCCCAAAAAGTTGAATGCATCAAAATTTCCTTTTTTAAAAAAAAAAGCATCAAATTACCAAATACATTAAATTACTTATTATATTAAATTCCCTATACGAAATGAAAAAATAATTTTACTTAATTATAGAATCAAAAACTTTATTTGAAAAACTATGTACTATATAATATAATGATTATTCAAGTGGATTAGATGAAGTTCGGGTTGGATTGGTCGGGTTACAGGTTAGTCGGGTTTGGGTCAATCGGGTTCGGGTTGATCGGGTTGCTGGTTTAATCAGGTTGCGGGCCAATCGGGTTTGGGTTAATCAGGTTGCGGGTCAATCGGGTTGTGGGTCGGGCGGGTTTCGGGTTGTTGACTTTTAGTCAATTCGGGTTGCGGTCGGGTTGATCGGGCGGGTTAGTCGGGTCAGGTTCTATTTTGACACCTATAGCCCGCACGGGTACGGGACGAGGCATGTCGACCCACTCTTACATGTTATTTGAAAAAAAATACACGCAAAATTTTACATTTTATGATAATACGAAGGGAAAACACTTCATGAATAAAAAATAGTGCTAATAGAATAAGTAAATCTAACTAGTTGAAAGATCGAATCTAACTAGTTGAAAAAATGTCAAAATATGAGAAATATGAATAAATATTGTAAGAAATTAGATAGAATGGACGAAAGAATAGGACGGAGAGAGAGGCAAGACAGGACAGAAGTAGATACATGTGCGCTACTGTAGGTCGGGTAATACCCGCCCATCGCCGATCAGATCAATTAATAGCCGACGAAACGATCAAATTGTCATCACTACTTGTCTATGCATGCCATTCATTTGGGTTTCCTTTTCTTACTTTTCTAGACATATCCAACAACATTTATAACTACTATTGTAAACTAGAATGATACAAGCCTCAATTTGAAATATAGTGAAATATTCACGAAATTTTAGTCCGTATTTATCCCCGAAAATTCTCCTATACATGCAAGACAACACAAGTTTTATCAAATATCTCCCACCAAGCATTCAATGTTAATTATAATTAACTGATTTTGCATTTATCTACTTCGTTTCAACAACTCTATATCTATTGATTTAAGTTGTTTGATGAGTAAAGTTTATATTATTATCCTAAACATTACCGACTAACCCACTTAAAGTGTTATAATAGGAAAATGTCACATATTTCATTCCATCACACAATTAACCAATCTCAATGGTTTTAATATCATATCTAGAATCAATTTCATTTTAATAACTCTATGTGACCAAAATTTAAGTAATTTTTTCTAGTGACTAAACATAATACGATTTAGTAATCCCAATAACCAAATGTGGCATTTACCCGAAATTATTAATACTAGCATAATATCTTGCTACTAACGTATCCATCCCCCTTCCTTCTCTTTCTCCATGCTGCTTCTATCCTGGACTCCACCTTCTGCCAACATTGAAGCCCATGGGCTCTAACTAACAAAAGTACAAAGGCGGGCTGATGGAATATGGCATTGGGCCTTGGTTGTTTTGTCCCTGTGAAGTAACGGGTTTTAGGCAGTGACACTAAAACGGCCGAGGAGAGGAGTGATTGTCTGATTGATGACACAGTTAGCGGCGAACCAAAGCAGAAAGCATAATTCAATTCTCCAGATTTCCTTCTTCTAACTGTTTTTAGCTTCACACATAGCTTTTAATGATGGAGGTGGAGAATGTATGTACTGATCATAGGAATGGGCAGGTTCGGGGCGGGTTTCTTGGTATCCAGACCCGCTTCGTGACAGGTCGGGTAATTGATCACGGTTCGTGTGTCGGGCAGGTCGACCTAATGGGCATGCAATTTATATGAAAAACATTAGAAATATTCGTTATTTTTATTATAAGACTAAGAAAACAAACAATATTATGACAATTGTAGTTAAATTATTGGAGAAATTGAGGTTTTCACTAATTTACAACTTTATTATAGCTAAAATATGTTCCAATAAAAGGAAAAATCTAAATAATTTGACTAAGATTACATGTAATTTACACAAGAACAGGTCGAGAATAGGGCGGGTCAGGGCAGGTCGGATCGATGAGACTACCCATGCTCGCCCCGCCCCGCCTGCGGGCGGGTCGAACCCGCCCTAAAACAGATCAAACAATTCGGATAAAAACGGGTCAGGTCGAAATTGCCATCTCTAGAGATCATATCAGAGATCTATGTCGCAAAATGTAGGAGATGCCTGTCACTTTTATTAAGCGGGCCTGCAATGCCTCGACCCACCTGAATCCTGATGGCCCAAACAATGTGTAACTGGGATTCTCAGCAAGTCCAGCTAGGCAGGCCTGCAGTTTTTTTTTTATTGTCTTAAGTCTCCATTATCTTTGGACCGTAACTTTTCACAAGCCCAATAAGAGCATCCAGATCTTTTCGTAATTTTTTTTCTTTCTCGTTAACAGCATAGGGTCCCTTTTAAATGAGAATGGGGAGAAGGGAAAGAAAGATTGACAGTGGAATTGTCAAGAAAGGTGAGTACTTTTAGACAGAGAAAGTGCGTTTTTATTTAAAGGGAGAGTGGGAGGTAGGGGTGGGCATACGGTTCGGTAAAACCGAACCTAACCGAACCGAACCGAATTCAAACCGAACCGAAACCGAATAACATTAATTCGGTTCGGAATTCGGAAGAGAAAAGGGTATATTTCGGAAATCAAGGTCCTTTCGACCGAACCGAATTTCCGAATTCCGAACCGATTTTCCGAATTACTATAATTGCAAGTTCCAAATGGTGGATTTTTATGTTTGTACTTATTATGAGACTTAAATATTTGAATTATGTTAGTGTTTTATGACTTATGTGTTGAAATATTTGATTTTATCATTGATGATGCATTTAATTGCATATTTATTGTTTACATTAGAGGTGAAAAATAATTTAAAAGAGAAAAAATACAAGCTAACCTCACAAGTTCGGTTTTTCATACAAAACCGAACCGAACCGAATTATAATTCGGTTCGAATTCGGTTTGAAGTTTGATGGAACTCGGAAACCCGGTATACATTATTTCGGTTCGGTTTGAACCGAACCGACCGAATTCCCACCCCTAGTGGGAGGAAGTGGACAAAGAGTTTTTCTCTCTCTTTTTTTTGGGGAAAGCAGCCATCCCATCAAAAAATTGTCCTTGTTTTTTTTGCAGTGTGTGCGTAGGATATGTAGAAGAAGAGAAGAGAGCTGTGACTGTGAGGCGCTCCACAAATCTCTCACCTCCTCTCTCTCTCTCCATTTCTCTTGTCATCTCTCTAATATCATTGCACATGCTTAAGTTAGTTAGTAGTGTGGTCATGCCTGCTTCAGCTTAAAAGTTGCAGCTGCTAGCTGCTCTGTCTCCAAGGGTGCGCAGGATAAGGAAGTAGCGAGGAGGAAAAATCTCGCACTCACTTAACTGAGCTGAGCTTGAGCTACTTTCTTCCTTGTGAAATTATGGGTTTTAGCAGAAGATTGCTTCTTTGGATTTTGAGCATACTGGGTTTGCTCTCTATTGCCTCTGGGGCTCGCCTCTACTCTTCCTCGGTTTCAAAACAGAAGCTGGACGTCCAGAAGCACTTGAATCGATTGAACAAGCCATCTACCAAGTCCATTCAGGTCCCTTCTTCTTACCCCTTTTCTCTTCCCAATACTAATGCTGCTTGCTTGTTTGGCTTCTGAGAAAGTGTGGGTAGATGTGCCTGCTTCTTATTTTCTTGGCATTACTGATTTGCATTTGATTTTCTTGCCGTTTCCTGTATTTTCCCAGTGATGAATGCAAATGGCTGTCTTCAAGTTTACTTCTTTTTTCCCCACCTTCTCCCTTTCCTTTCCTTCTTCTGCTTTTCTTTCTGGTGAGCATTAGATGCCAACTTTTCCTTCCTGGAAATTCTCGCTTCTTTTTTCATTTTGCGAGTCAACAATGATGCTAAGATTATTAGACTCCTCTTTACTCTCTTTCTTTCTTTCTCTCTCAGACTCTCACTATACGATGATTTCATTTTCGGGGGATTTATTGAGCAATAAATAACACAAGAAACTGAATATATGATGTGGAATCCTCAGTGCACATCTTTATTATATTCCCTCTTCTTTCCCCTCTATGCATATTGAAAACTAACTATTCAATCCTTTCCAAGGACTAACAGAAGGTGTCTGGTGTCTGAAAATTTTCTTTTATTGGGTATAACTTATAGCATTGAGAAGGGTCATGTTAAGCTCATTTGTGTTTTGTTTCTTTTGATTACGGCAGAGCCCGGATGGAGATATCATTGACTGTGTTCCCATGTCCAGCCAGCCAGCTTTTGACCATCCTTACCTCAAAGACCACAAAATTCAGGTCTGTAATAGCTCTTCTTGCTGTTCCATTAAAGCTTTGTGCTTTTGATTTTCTTTTTCTTTGTCTGACGTGGGAGGGTTTGTACAGATGAGGCCTAGCTTCCACCCTGAAGGACTGTTTGATGACAACAAAGTGGCTGCTGCTGCTGCAGCAGAATCTAAAGTGAGAGCAAATCTTATCAAGCAGTTGTGGCATGCTAATGGTAAATGCCCTGAAGGAACCATTCCAATCAGAAGAACAAAGCAGGAAGATGTTGTGAGAGCTAGCTCTGTGAAAAGATATGGTAAGAAGAAGCATAGAAGCATTCCAAAGCCCAAATCAGCTGAACCTGATCTCATTAACCAGAGTGGCCACCAAGTAAAGTCTCTCTCTTCATTTCCTCATCAGTGGAAAGATTCTACTTGGAGTCTTATACTCTTCCTAATTGTTTGCTCTTCCTTTTTTTCATTAGCATGCGATAGCCTATGTCCAAGGAGATAGGTATTATGGAGCAAAGGCCACCGTTAACGTTTGGGAACCAAAGATACAACAACCCAATGAGTTCAGCCTGTCTCAGTTATGGATATTGGGAGGATCCTTTGGTGAGGATCTCAACAGTATTGAAGCTGGTTGGCAGGTATATAGCTTATTTTTAATAATCAATCCTGTCCTTTCTTTCATGTGATCAACACAAAATTATTGAACCCATGATAATGAATTAACAAAGACGGTTGATTCCTTGTCATCTTCTGTGGATAATATATTATAATCCCATCATCTCATGTTTTTGAATGATAAAACAGGTCAGTCCAGATCTGTATGGTGACAACAACACAAGGCTCTTCACCTACTGGACAGTAAGCTTCATGAACTCATTTCTTTCTAATGAACCTGAGATTGCTCGTTGACTCAGACAGAAATCTAAACTATGCATCTACAGAGCGATGCCTATCAAGCAACTGGGTGCTACAATCTGCTATGCTCAGGCTTTATCCAGATCAACAGTGAGATAGCAATGGGTGCAAGCATCTCTCCTGTTTCTGGCTACCGCAATTCCCAATATGACATCAGTATCCTTATCTGGAAGGTAAATCTAACAATCACAAGCCTATGACCATTGTCCTCTCATTCATATGCAGTTTCCATTATGAAAAAGCTGGCATCTTCTGTTGATCTTTTTGGTAAAGATATCTAGTGTAGACGCAGGCAGAGGATAGGACAATGAGTGTAGACTGTGTAGTCACTTGTGTGGCCTATATCTGACCAGAAGTATGCATGTGAACATGGTAAAGATTTGTGTGTTTGGAGCTTGGCAATGCAAGTTTCAAACTGCAGGCTTTGGCCATGTTGCTAGAGTTGATGTTTGGACCGAACTGCTTAAGTTGATTTGTAGCTCGACGCGGTTTTGAGTCTCAAGCCGAAACCTGTTATGAGCAAATTGGTTTATTATCTGTCCTTCATTAACCTGATAGCTAAGCTAATGCCATGTGGTGATTTGTGTTGAGGGGATTAAGCATTCTTGTGTGTTGTGTGCGTGCAGGATCCAAAAGAAGGGCACTGGTGGATGCAGTTTGGAAACGACTATGTGTTAGGGTATTGGCCATCTTTTCTGTTCTCATACTTAGCAGACAGTGCCTCCATGATTGAGTGGGGAGGTGAGGTGGTGAACACAGAAGCAGATGGGCAGCACACCTCGACTCAAATGGGGAGTGGGCGTTTCCCCGAGGAAGGGTTTGGGAAGTCGAGCTACTTCAGGAACATTCAAGTTGTGGATGATTCCAACAATCTCAAGGCTCCCAAGGGACTTGGCACCTTCACTGAGCAGTCCAACTGCTATGATGTTCAAACTGGCAGCAATGGCGACTGGGGTCATTACTTTTACTATGGAGGCCCTGGTAGAAACGCCAAGTGCCAGTGACACCCAAATGAAACACCCCTTTCTCATCGTATACTTCTGTTGTGTTCTAATCCTTCCCTATGTATAATTCACCATCATCCCTCTTCTTTCCTTAGTGTACATGTGTGAGGTCGAGTCTGAGCAGTAGTGGCAAGTTTTGGCTCATTGTTTTATTTTGTTTTTATAGTCATGGAAAAAGATTCTCCAGACAAACCAAGTGGGTTTGGGGAACTTTGTGGCCAGTGTTTCTCAAAACTGGGAAAGAAACAGGAGGCCTTTTGTTTTCTTTCTTTCTTTCTTTCTTTCTTTCTTTCTTTGTGTATTCTATTGGTTTATGGTACTACTTCTCGTCTACTCCCTTCTTTGGAGGGGCTCGTTTAAATGGAATGAAATCCCCTCCTCTCTCTCTGTTGCTGCTTCTTTTGATGGATACTGTCAGTAGTCTGTCACGGCCTTGTATTATGATTGTGATCATGATGAAGGCTGGCTGATAAAAGGAGAACTTTTCAACCACTGCTGTCTGTTGAGTTATTATTGTTATGATTGTATAGCTATAGCTAGCTAGTAACTGTGGGATCGTTTGGCTGTGGGAATTGAACGTGGGAATTGGCCCTCTTTCCCACGTTATGCAGTAATTCGCTGGAAATTCCATGTTTGGCAGCAAAAAATAAATATGGAAATTGGGCCGTGAGAATTGGTCCAATTACAACAGACTCGGGAATGAGAATTACGGCCCCCCCCCCCCCCTCCCCCGGAATTTCAATTACTGCGATTGAAGCAATTTTCTTGCCCAAATTGACCCTTCCTTCTTCCTTCCGTTTTCTTCCCACTTCTTCCTTCTTTTTTCTTCCCTCTCGTTGATACGGAGTGCTCCACAACGACGACCACAAGGAACGAAGAACAACGGCAAGCTCAGAGAAAATCGAAATCCGATTTCGGTGGTACCCCACGAGAGAAGGAGAAGCTTTTTCTCAGTCGCTCTATCGTCTCCGCCGCTGCCTCCGAATTCACTTCCCCTGTCGCCCCAACAACTCCAATCACCAGCTCGGTAATCTTCTCCGCCGCTACCACGATCTCGTTCTCCCCCACCGGCTTCCGCCACCAAGTAATCCACATTCCACACCTATGCGATTCCTAAAGTTTTTCGACGGGATCGACGCTAGATCTAGCCGTCCTCAGGTACTTTCTCTTCTCTTTGTCGATTAATTAGGGTCCGTCGCTAGTCAAGTTAGGCTTTAACTGTTGATTCTAGATTTCAATCTGTAGTTTTGGGTGAACAAAATTGCATGGAATTATTGTGGACGCTAATTGTGTGGAACTATTTGTTATGGGAAATAGCTTGGAAACTCAACTGATGTGATGATATGTGAAAAAGGTAGGTAATACATGCATGGAACTATCTGTCACTGCAATTGATCGGCATTCACAAAACAACAGCAAAAACAACAGCACAAGTCTACTTCTCACTAATTAGTAGCAGTATTAGCAGTTAGCAGCAGAAGCAATAACAGTTAGCAACAGGGGATGGCACCATCATCATGTCATGGCCATGGTCAGTTTGTCTGTGGGAGTGCTGCGACTGGTTAGCTTGGTTGCATGGATCATGATTAGTAGGTCGATAGCATTTCATTGAAGCCATGATACACATTTCTTGTTGCTGTATGATCCAAGGCTAAAAGAAATGGCTTGGTTTGCTACAAAAACCAGAGTCAACTGTGGCCCAAATTTATAGCAGAGAAGTGGGAAGTAGTGCATTATGGTTTCAATTATTTGATTCCATTACTTTGTTTCTGATCAGATGGTGGATGGGAATAGTGAATTCCAAGATTGTTCTGCTGCTCCTCTCTTTATCTTTGCTTTCTTTGGGAGATAAATGTATAAAATGGTATCTCGTCTTAATGGGTACTTTTTTTACAAAGTCTTAATGGGTACTTGACACACTAATTGGCATATGATTTTGTAGTTAGCAGCGGTTATTAAATAGTAGCAGAGTTAGTTACAACTTACAAGCAGCTAGTAGCAGCAACTAGTCGTTAGTAGAAACACAGTAGCATTCTTGTATTTCCTCAAAATTCCATACCACCAATTCTCACAAAAATAAACCATTTCCCAAACATGAAATTTCAGTCAATTTCCACAACCAATTCCTTGCTTTTGTAAAATGTGGGAATTCAAGCAAATTTTCACGTTTCCAAATTTCCACATCCAAACGACCCCTATGTGTTTTTGGGTGCACGCACAGTTTGTAATTGTGAGAGGGCAAGACAGGGTTTATTTCACCATCCTGTCTTGAGTAATGAGGATCATCATGATAGCAAATAGTTATCAGCTGCATGTCGAGAACAGCTAGCTAGCTGGTGTTGACATGAAAAGAAAGATTCATTCGAGGTAATCATCATCTTCCAAATTAATGGAAATTGATGTGTACTGATCTGTTCATCCTAAATAAGCAATGCATAGCACTACCTAGGGGTTGAAATTGGGGGAAATTTTCCAAAAATACCACAAAAAAAAATTCAAAAATACCACTCATTTTTTAAAAATTCCAAAAATACCATCCTTTCTCAAAAACCGTGGCCCTCTATGGCGGTTATACGAAAACCACAGGGGATGGCCGTGGTCAGCGATCCGAGGCAAACCACCCCCACCCCCGCGGTTTGTGACCGAATATTTTTTGCGAAATTTCAAACAATCGTAACTTTGCGCTCGGATATCCGATCATAGCAAAAAAAAAAAAAAAGATTCCACATAATTTTTTGAGATCCGATATCCCGAGCGATCTCAAAAAATTAATGTGGAATTAAAATAAATTTCATTATGATCGGATACCCGAGCGCAAAGAAACGTTCGTTTGACGTTTCAGCTTAGATTGGGTCTCCATGTTAACCACGGCTACCCCAGCGGTTATTACGCCAAGTGAAAACCGTATGAGGGGTGAAATGAAAACCGCGGCTACCCCCGTGGTCCTTTTGTAAACGCCATAGGGGGCAGCGGTTTTTGGGAAAATGTGGTATTTATGAATTTTTTTGGGAATGGGTGGTATTTGTGGAATTTGTTTTTTGGTGGTATTTCCGGGAAAAATCTAAAAATGGGCAGGTTGGGTGAACCACATCCACAAAATCATATATATGCTACCCACAATCTGCAACGCAGTGGTTAGTGAGTAACCACTGGCTACTATGGTTTGGTGCGGTTTAGTTGTGGTTACCCGAAAAATAATCATCTTTGCGAGCATAGAGTTGTGGCCACCAAGGGCGGAGCTACACCGGGCCTGGGAGGGCCCCCTAGAATTTTGAAAAACACGAATGAAAGTTTGGGTATTCGAAAATTACGTAGTAATTAACGTACTAAAATAATAATAAATTTTGTGCAACAATTTACCAAATGAAGTAATTTAACCTAATGGAGCTGTACGCATGCTATAGCCTAGCAGTCAGTGGTTCGATGCCCACTAACGTTAGTTTTTGGTTATCTCATTTGGTTCCTTAACTCTATATATTTTACTTTCGTGAGTTTGAAATTTAAGTTGTTCAAATTATTTTACGTTTGGTACCAAATGAATCGAGAATTCATTTCATTGTAAAATGAATTATTTGGTTCCTTAACTCTATATATTTTACTTTCGTGAGTTTGAAATTTAAGTTGTTCAAATTATTTTACGTTTGGTACCAAATGAATCGAGAATTCATTTCATTGTAAAATGAATTATCGTGTAGAATTCATTGTCAAATGAAATCTTGTGTTTGGTATGTCATATTCAAATCTTTAGAAATAAAATGAATTGTGGATAAGTTTAATTTATCAACCTGGGATCTAGATCTACCGCCTACTCCGTGAACTTCTATTATATAGTGGGACTAAGTGAGTGAAAGTGAATTCAAACTAAACAGAAAAAAATAATAATAAATTGTTCGAAGCTCTTAAGCAAGGGAAGAGTCACTCGGGATTGAGTCCCCCTAACTCCTTAGTTAGGTCCAAGTTGTAATTTCCATTGGTTGATTTACTGTTGATTAAACTGCGGAAGATCCGACAGTAGATTGGAATCTCTTAAGCTGACCAAGCCCTCTTAGATAGACTAACAGATAGATGACTAGTCTTCACCGAGATAGAATGCTAAGGCAATTAACACAGAACTCCACTATTGGAGACAGATTCCAGTACAAAGCAGTGAATTGACTGACTCTCATACAATCAATTCACTCCTATCGATTGAAGAAGCTCTAACAACCTAATCAAATTCTATCTATCTCAGGTTGCAGTAGAAATCAAAAGAAGTTGATCAGGATTCAATTGACTCAATAAACACACTTCGATCGATTAAAACCAATCAATATATCCATCCAAAAGTCATTACAACTCAAATTCCTAACACATTGAACTAGGGTTCTTCACACACAAGTGAGAGAAGGTTCTACTCCATAGATAGAGAGAGAGAGAGAGAGAGAGAGAGAGAAAGAGGAAAACTGAAATCAAAGCAGCCATACTCATAAAGATGGGAATAATCTGCTTTGGGATGTCAATCTTCACTCCTGGGGATGCAATCTGGGCTTCATTGGTGAGGAATCCACTCCAAAATAGCTCATAGCGTTTGTTCTTTGCACTTTCTCTCTCTAGAACTCTGTTTTTTTATCTCGAAATTCAGTCGCTTCAAAATATGAGCTCCTCTTCGATAAAACCCGCACAGGTGCAAAAACACGGCCTCTAAGCCCAAAAACCCAGCGTGTTTTAATCAGAAGAGGCCGTGTTTCGAAATGACGATTCTGTGAAGTGCAGAGGAAAAACATGGCCTCTGACACAAGGTCGTGTTTTTCAGCATAGAGGGTGTGTTTCTCAGCATCCCTATTGTCCGGTTTTCGCGATCGACCTTCTTTCATCTCCAAATGTCTCAAAACTCGACCTCAAGCCATATCTACATTCTAGGACCTGAAATATGACATAAGAACACAACCTAGCGTAAAATAGGCCAATGAACGATCAATCGCTAGCTAAACGATCAAGAAATGAAGGGAAAAACATGTGTG